CTATATCTATATCTATCTACATCTGCATACCCCTTGTCCTCTACTTGAAAAGCTGATTTTCTGAAGCCAAGTGTAAGGCTTATATTTATCTCTATTAACTTTCATCTTATTAGATTTGACTCAATGTTCTCTAGCCTGTCAAGATCTTTTTGGATTCTGATTTTGTTTCTCCAACATGTTAGCTATCTCTCCTAACTTTGTGTCATCTGCAGATTTGATGAGTATATCAAGACCCAGGTGCAGCTATAAAAGGGGGACAACAGATAATCACTGAGCAAAGTCTATAGCAGGCTCTGAATATAAGGATCCTTGAGGACACTCAAATGAGATTTTCAGATCATTAAAATTAAGAAGAGAATAAAAGAGTGTCTAGCCACTACAGTCACTTTAGCCCAAGGGACCAGAGTTCCTTGGATTCATGCCAAGAAGGAACTGAGACCCCAGGAATCTGCTGGAATCATCTATGCTCCTAGCCCAAGGGGTCATCCTCCATGGACAATCAGTTCTTTGGGGTACTTGATTGGAAAATGTTTATAAATGGAGGATGTTTGAAGACCTAAGTGTCATCGACTGTGAAGCTGCAGCACATTAAATACCCCAACCTAACACCAGAGGCTGAGAAAGATGCTTCAAGAATAATTGGTATAGTGAACACCCCTGGTTTGTAGTACTCTTCTGCTATCCCTGAAGTTCGTTTGCCAAGGAAAAGGAACATGAACCCCTTTTATTCAGTCAGTGATTTTAAAAATTGGAAAATTACTCTTCCAAGTGAGAAGGGATTTTCACTGTATTACTCATCAGAAAACCAAATTACTGCTACATGTTCATGGGTTGAGAAAAAAAAAGCCCAGCAGTTTATGGTGGGTCAAGATATTTAGACCGTGTAAGTTTCAGAGAAGCTTCCAGGAAATCAGTAAGAACAAAAAAACTGGTTGATTGCTTATAATTTCTAGGGACTATATAAGAGCCATCATTCATCTTGGCAGTGATGCTTGGGCTTATCTGAGTAGGTAGCATGTGATGGAGAAACAGAAGTCGTTCTGTGCAGGAGACATATGTTGGAGACTGTTGTTCTCAAGAATGGAACAGCCCAAGAGCTATCATAAGTGAAACTCACATAGAGCTCTCTGTAGTTAGTTTTCCTTATGATTGGTAGCTACAAAGGAACAGGGAAGACTAGGGGCCGGTTCAGTCATTCCATTGTTCATATGCATTGCATAGAAACGCAGTATCTTCTATGTTCCTCTTTCAAAAGACACAGTGATCATGCTTACATAGGAAAAGCAGTAGAAGAAGTAATTTTGAGATTTATTCTGTCACCATGATGCTAAAGAATGTATGTGAAGCACAAAGCCAAGGTTTGTTGTGGCCGTCAATTAGATAGATGTATGATTTATAAGGTATTTCATATTGATACATCTACTATCGTATAGTGGATAGGGCATTGGACTTGAAGTCAAGGAGAGGTTCAAATACCCGTATAAACATTTGCTAGCTATGTGACCTCAGCCAAGTCATTTGACCACTCTGTGCTGCAATTTCCTCTTCTGTAAAATTTATAGGCTGTTCTTGACCTTTTCCAACTCTACATCAATGATACTTTTCTGTGATGCCAATTAATACAAAAGTTCTGCTCTTCTACTTATCCCCTCCTATTGGAGACTTAAGAGTACCCATGTGCAAAGTCAGATCATCACCTTTCTCCTTCAGATGGTATCTGTGTGGAATAACTGGTGAAAAAGAACAGGTCTGTATTTTTCTTCCCCAAAATGAGTTTCCATGGAAACAACAATACTGCCCTGAGGGTATAGTAGGTGTGACAAAAGACATAGACTAAGGTTTAAAGGGTGAACCAACAATTTGGCACCTTCTGCCACCTCAATTTCTCTCCACTTTCCTCTCTTTGCCTGGCAAGCTGCTTCCACTCTATTGAGAAGAGAAACATTTTTGTTTTCCTGTAGCAGTTACTATAGCAGGAGCAAGAGTGTCAGGGACCTAATGGTATCATGGGTACAGAAATTGGTCTTAGTAAATACAACATAATTTTTAAATCTACAAGGTAAGTCGGTGGGGAGTGTTTCTTTTTCCCCCTTTACAGATAAAGAAATGGAAACATTTGCTCTAAAGCTCTTCACTGAGACACAGAGTACTCATTTGCATACAATGCCTACTATGTTCCAGGCACTGTGACTGATAACCAAGTTATCCTTGTCTTCAAAGAGTTTATGATTGAATGGGAGAGATGAGAAATATATACATAATTCTAATAAAAACAACAAAGCTGACTGAATAGGAGAGAGAGAGGAAATATACAAATAATTTTAATACAAAGAACAAAAAAACAACAAATGAGAGATAAAAATGAAGTTTTATAGGGCTGAAGAATAAGGGAAGGCTTACTCTCAGTGAAGGAAATCAGGGAAGGCATCATAGAGGAAACAAAAAATATAAGGCAGAAGATTCTATCATCAGCAGAATGTAGTCTTTTTTGAGGGAAGGGACTATTTTTTGTTTAATTTTGTATCCCTCTCCCTAGACAGTACCTTGCATATGGTAAATACTTTTAAAAATTTTATAATTGGTTAGATTGGTTTGGACTAGCATTAATAGTTGAGGTGGGTCTTAAAGGATGGGTAGGGATGATGGACAGGATTTCTAATGGTGGAGGTAGGAAGGTCAGAAGGGCAATTCAGGTAGTAGTAAACCAATGAGCAAAAGTATGGAAGTAATAAACTGAAATTTACATTTGAGGAATAGGAAATAGCTCAGACTGGCTGGAACAGAGAAGGTTGGACTGGATGATTTCTAAGGACCTTTCTAAATTTAAATCATGTGATTCTATAATTTTATGTAAAGAAGTAGCTAGCAATCTAGCTGGAAAGATAGGTTAAGGATAGAGCAGTGTGGGCTTTGAATTCCAAACATAAGCCATGGTGAGTAGCTACAGATTTCTGGGCAGGAGATTGATACAATCAAAACAGTACTTTAAGGAGAATTAATCTGTAAAATGAATTGGATGAAGAGAAAGTATGGAGCCAGGAAGAGTTCTTAGAAAGCTATTGCAATCTGGCTAGAGATGATAAGAGCCTAAACTACAGCTATGGGAGTGGCAGTAGAAAGGAAGATACAGATGCAAGAAATATTGCCAAGGAAGAATTTACAGGATGTGGATGTTGTATGTGGGAAAGGAGGAAATAGAGGGGCTCTAAGGTCATAGCAGGGCTTAGAGCTTGGGAGAGTGGCAGTAACATGAGCAGAAATAGGGAAGTCAGTAAGAGGTGATGGAGGGTGGGGAAGAAGGGGGTAATGATAAATTTTGTTTTAGACATGTTGAGCTGGGGGTACCAATGCAACATCTAGGACCAGCAGGTAGTTGGAAATGTGAGACTGAAGCTCTCTCTTCAGTGAAAGGTGAGAAATGGCAGTTGAGGCAGAGGTGGTTTTGTCGGTGAGAAAACTTGGTCTATGCAATAATCTAAAGTGACTTGCCCAGTCCAGAAGTCAATGAAAAAGTTCTGGTTAGATCCAGGTCTTCAGAATTCAAGTCCAGCAAGCTTTTGCAAGACCCCAGTGCCACACAGAAAACAAATGTGGGTTCCACACAGTCATTATTTAAAAAAAAAACTTTCAAAAAGCAAGGTTGATAAACTACTAATTTTAAATAATGGGAGACCAGAGGACAGTGTGAAGGAGTAAATCAATGAATGAACACTTATTAAGAGGCTGCTGTGTGCCAGGCACTGTGCTAAGTGCTGGTTAAAAGAAAAAGTCTGAATGTTAGAATGTGTGGTAGAGACGTGCTGTTTTCATTACTTTTAGAGGCATACAGTAATGGAAACTAACTGGTAGTACATTGTTACTAACAGAGCCTACAATGATGAATCAATGACTCATCTATAATTAGCACCATTTCTTTCACAGGAGGCTTAAAAACAGTTTGTTCTCTGAAGCAGGTTAAATCTGACCCCTTCTCCATTCTCCTTTAGACTAACCATTTGATTACTAATTTCTACCCGTACCCCTCACATATAAGGTACAGGTAAACTTTAGCTCTAACTCAGGTCAAATTACCTTAGAGTCTGTATTAGTAGAGTACAAATTAATGAGGTTTTATTATGCAGCCAACTTCCAATTATTCTCCTGAGGATTATATGAGCTTGGTCTAGAAGTCCCATCATCAGAAGGAGGACACAGAGTGATGACCCCATTTCCAAGGATGAAATTATTTCCCATAGGGTAGTAATAGTACATTTTTCCTGCTACAAAGAGCAGGACTTAGCCCTGATTCAGCTGGGCATCCGGAAATCATCCTACTGGGGATAGGAATTGACTATAAGGATAAGTTATCTAAGTATTAAAATTTTATCTTGGGTGCTATGCTCCTCTGCATCCAGAGCCAACTGATTTTTTAAATTAACCTCTTACTGATCTAATTTACAGTCATACACTAGGTATTGGGGCAGCTAGGTGACTCAGTGGATAAAGTGCCAGACCTTCAGTCAGGAAGACTTATCTTCCTGAGTTCAAATCCGGCCTCAGACACTTACTAGCTGTGTGACCCTGGGCAAGTCACTTACCCCTGTTTGCCTCCATTTCCTCATCTGTAAAATGACCTGGGGAAGGAAATGGCAAATAACTCCTGTATCTTCACCAGGAAACCCCAAATGGGGTCACAAGGAGTTGACACAACTGAAACAACTCAACAGCACTAGGTATAGCTTCAACTTAAAAATTGTCCATTGATATTTAACACATTCACTTTTATGTTTTCCCCAACACCCCAATTTTTTCAAACATATTTTATATTGCTAAGTAAATATATATTTTATATTGCTATATATTTTATATTGCTAAGTAAAAGATTTAGGAGGAATTTAGGAGAAATGTTGTGCTGGAACATTTCCTTAGTTTCCCCTTCATTGACCCTTAGAGCATGGTAGGTCTTTGAAGAGGCAACTCTCTTTTCAGTGTGCACACTTGTTTATCACTTTGTCTTTCAGAGATGTTCAAATTTGTATACTTTTCTTCAAGTTCCTTTGAAGGAAGACTTTGCCCAGCTATGTTTTTTGTAAGAAGAATGTTTGAAAGAGATTGCCTTTGGTAAGATCCATTTTTTTACTCCCTACTCTTACAGGATAACTTCCCTTTGTTACAGCGTATTCTAATCTCTTCTTTCCTTTATTGGTATTAATGCCTAATCATGGCTAGTTGAATTGGAGATCCTTTGTATGTGATCTGTCACATACTAGCCCCTTGAAATATTTTTGCTCTGATTTAGGAGTTCTAGAATTTGGCAGTCACAATTTCACCTATCTCTGGTGGTAACCTGTGGATTTTGTCAGTACTTTTCCCTCCAGTTCTAATACTTCTGTGCAATTTTCTTTTATGATTCACTGAAATATCATGTTCAGGTTTTTTATTTCAGTGTGCTTTTCTGGGAGCCCTCCATTTCTTATATTTTCTCTCCAAATCCTATTTTCTAGGTCAGTTGTTTTCGAAAGTAGATCTCTCCCATATCCTTCTAGTTTTTCTGCTTTATGACTTTGTTCTGTTATTTCTTATTGTATTAATTAGTTTTTGAGTTCTGTTTCCTCCATTCTTTTTTAAGGTGTCCCACGGTTTGCTAAAGTTTCCTGGCTTCTGTTCTAAGCTTATCTTTCCCATCATTTTTCTTTTCTTTTCTGGCCTCATGTAGACTCTTTGGCCATTCCATTTTCTGTTTTGGACTTCTGGTTGTAGTTATCTCAATATTATTCTATTCTAGCGTTTTACCTTGGTCTTCTCTTATCCCATAGCATTTCTTCATTGTATTATGAGGTTACTTTTGCTTTCTTTTCTTTTCTGTTTGGTTGTTGTTGTTTTTCTTTTTCCTGGGCTTCTGCTGGAATGGCTGAAGACTCTAGTTGAGCCTTTACCAAGAGTTGTCTTCACTAAGGGTACTGCTGGGGCCCTTGATGTTTGCCTGAGGAGTCTGCAGCCTGGAGTTAGGACTGCAGGGTGGAGGGCCAGAGAGGACAGGCCAAAAACAAAGAGTTGCAATAGAGTGCATTGAAAGACTGCCCCACCTGAAGCAAATTCTAAATTTCCTTTAATAATAGCTAACCTTTATATAGCATTTACTATGTACCAGCCACTGTACTAAGCGCTTTACAACTATTATTATTTCAGTTGGTGTTCACAATAACCCTGGGAGGTGGGTGCTGTTATTATTCCCATTTTACAGATGAGGAAACTGAGGCTAAGTGGCTTGCCCCAGGTCACATAACTAGTAAGTGTCTGAGGCTGAATTTGAACTCAGATCTTCCTGACTCCGGACCCAGAACTTTATCTACTGACCACCGAGTTGCCTCTCAAGCTTGGCAGCTGCAGAATTCTTAAAGCAGAGAAACTGGCGTTTTCCACTCTAGAGTGACTTGAAAACAACCAAATGGATTCCTTCAGGAAGTACTTTCAGTCCTAAAGTTGGAGTGGTTTTTATGGTCTCTACTGGAGGAAACAGGCTCCAAGTATCTCTTGGATACTTGGCTCAAGGAAACTTCTCCTAACTCTAAAGCTGATGCCTGGGCCTCAGCTTGGTGGCAAAGGGATTGATTATGCACACTTATACTGTTTTTCTCTTTCATTTGCTGTGAGGATTTTACTTTGTGGGTCTCTTTCTGTCTCTGACTCTTCATCTCTCTCTCTCTCTCTCTCTCTCCCTGTCTCTTTCTCTCTCTCTCCCTGTTTCTCTCCCTCTTTGTCTGCCTCCCTCTCTCTCTGTCTTTCCTCAGTCTTTGTCTTTCTGTCTCTCAGTTTCTCTCTCTTGCCTGTCTGTCTTCCTGTTTCTCTCTGGCTCTCTCTCTGTTTCTTTCTCCCTGTCTGTCTCTCTCTTTTTCTGCCTCTGTCTCTTTGTCTCTCTCCCTCTGTTTCTTTCTCCTTATCTGTCTCCTTGTCTACCTATGTCTCTGTCTCTCTCTTTTTCTTGGTCATTCCCTCCATCCCACCCCCACTTAGGACACGTCTCACTGCTTTTGAGGGGTTGGTTAGAGGAGCTGGGTTTTGCTGCCATCTTTCAGGTAGATCCTTTGTCCAGAAAGCTCTTCCTGGCTGTTGTGCCAGGTGAGAAATGTAGGAACCTAGGGGCAGCGAGGTGGTGCAGTGGATAGAGCACCGGCCCTGGATTCAGGAGGACCAGAGTTCAAATCCAGCCTCAGACACATCACACTTACTAGCTGTGTGACCCTAGGCAAGTCACTTAACCCCATTGCCTAGCCAAAAAAAAAAGAAGAAAAGAAATAAAATATATAAATTAGGGGTAGCTAGGTGGTGCAGTGGATAGAATTCCGGCCTTGGAGTCAGGAGGACCTGAGTTCAAATCCGGCCTCAGACACCTGATACTTACTAGCCGTGTGACCTTGGACAAGTCACTTAACCCCGATTGCCTCACAAAAAAAAGCAAAGAAAAGAAATGTAGGAACCTTGGCCTTCTTCCCAGTCCCAGTGCTTACTGGTTGAGTGAGCATGGTCAGGATGTTTAGTCTTTCTGAGTCTCAGCTTCCTCCTCTGTAAAATGGGAATAAACACACAGGTACTATTTACCTCACAGGGTTTTGTGAGAAAATCATTTTTGAACTCCAAGAATTATAGAAATGTGTTACTAATAACAAAAACAACTTGGGGACTGAGCTACTGTAATCAGGAGCCTAATTTCTAAAACTTTTGAGGACTTGATCAGAACAGTTAACACTTCTTTAAGGTGCTTTTTAACGATTCTTTGAGAGCTCCTCCTTTTGAGGCCTTATGGTACACTGGAAAAGGCACTGGATTTAAAGTTCAAGGAACCGGGCATGAAACCCACCTCTGCCCTTTAATGACAGGGTGACCTTGGCCAACTCAGTTAACCTCTCTAGGACTCAGTTTTTTCATCTGTAAAATGAAGGGGTTTAGGGGCAGCTAGGGGGCTCAGCACGGGCCCTGGAGTCAGGAGGACCTGAGTTCAAAATCCGGCCTTATACACATAACACTTACTAGCCGTGTGACTCTAAGCAAGTCACTTAACCCCAGTTGCCTCACAAAAAAAAAGAAGGGGTTTGAATCCCATGATTTTTAAGGCTCCTTCTAACTTTTTTTTGTTGTTCACTTGTTTGAGTTGTGTCTGACTCTTTGAGCCCATTTGGGATTTTTGGCAAAGATACCGGAGTGGTTTGCTATTTCCTGTTCTGGTTCATTTTACAGATGAGGAATTGAGGCAAACAAGGTTAAGTGACTTGCCCAGGGTCGCACATCCAGTAAGTATCTAAGGCCAGATTTGAACTCATGAAGATGAGTCATCCTGACTTTGTGCCACCTAGCTGCCCTTCTAACTCTAGGATCCTTTTTCTAAGTCAGAGCCATTTCCCTCAAACACTGATAAGCCCTTCAGAAGTCCTCTGCAGCTGACAGGCAAAACAATTAGAGAATGGAAAAAGTCTACACAGTTCCTTTCCCAAAACTGGAGGGAACTGAAATAATCAAGGCAGTTTGGGGGCTGAGGTGGGTGTGGGTGAGATATTTGAGTTAATACAGAATTGCGTTAGGAAAATAGAGGTTTCTGCTGAAGCATAAACAGGACACAGGAAGATCTCAGTGACTAGAGTTTAAGAGGCTTGGATTCTTTTTACTTTGTCGTATATATTTCCCTAATTACATGTTAATTTTTTTTTAACATTTATAAATGGTTTTTTTAAAGTTTTGAGTTCCAAATTCTATCCCTCCCCTTTCCCTAAGCCAGTAAGCAATCCACATTATACAAGGTTTGCTTTGCTTTTAAATATATATATGTATGTATTCTTATCTGGTTAGGCCCCATTGGTTACCCAAGGTGCTAATTTGAATGGACATTTCATATCAAGTCAACATTTTTTTTTCATTCCTAATGTGGAGGCACATTTAGTCTTTGGTTCATGCTCACTTAAATCTGATTAGTCATTTTACAGCTGTATCTTGGAGAGGGAAAACCTCAAATATTTTTGGTTGATTTCATAAGCAAACTAAAAGCAAGATCTTTTCTTGCTTCCTTACTGGTCCCTTTTGCTTACAATTTGCAAGTCAGTAAATGAAAAATGTCCCCCTTCACGGTTATGTTTCTCATCAGTTGTTTTCGTCGTCGTTGTTTTCCAGTGTTTTTTTCCTCCTTATTTTCCATGATCCTTTTTAGGAGCTGGCAGCAAAGAACTGTCCTTACCTGATTTTACATTCTTCCCCACTCCTTCACGTGCCTCATTTTGCTCCTCTAATGCTGCTTGCCTGAGGCCTGCCATGCACACCTGACTGTTATTAATTCCATCTGCCCCATCTTTGTCCATTGATCCACAGGGCTGCTCGGGGACGCTTCCTTCAAAACACAGGTCAGTCACGGGTGGAGACACAGGATCTGAACGCAGGTTTGTTTGTCGTTGGTAGGTGGTTTGAGGACATTAGATGAGAGCACACATTTGTTATTGTAATGCTGCTGTGAATGCTGGAGCTGTGTGTGCTTTATTATTATAGAGAGTGGTTTATGACAGCGGGCTCTGATTTAGTTATTTCCTGAAGAAGACACTTTTGAACAATTATTTAAATGCCTCTCCTCATATAATTATAATAATAATGATGATGTTAATTTTGCAACTGAATCTGCCGTCCAGGGTGTGCGCACTTGACAGCTATTGCGTTCAGTCCAGCTTCCTTTCGTATACTGGTGTCAGCTGTGCTTGCTTAGATTCTTTAGATCAAGAGAACCTTTTTTTTGCTGTGTTGTTGCTTATTTAGGGTTACTGCCCTGCAGGCAAAAACAAAAAAACAAATAATGAGATCCACAAAAAAGAAACTACTTAGTTTTTATCCTTATGAAGAGGAACATAACCCGTTATGGTCAGCTTTTAAAATTAAGAACAAAAAAAACCTCAATAAGCACATCAAATATTACGAAATAAGCTCCATTTCCAACAAGTGGTAGCTTGGAGTTTTGGATTGTCAGAGTAAGATTTGGTTCAAGTCTGGCCTCTGATAGGTAGCTGTGTGATCTTGGAAGAAACACTTGACATCTCAGTACCCCCCAGACATCCTTCTTGATCTGTACACTACAGAAGTCACAGATCTGC